ATGAACCTTTTTATCTTATTGTTGCAGCACCGGGAGATCATTGTAGCTCACCACTGCAAGAAACTGGCCAGCCTGGCAAGCTACCGTCACCGTCATGGGTACCGAAAGAACTGAACTGTAGCCCCGACTGATGGAACACGGGCTAATAGCAAAAAGCTATAAAAAACTCAACCCCGCACCACCCTTTGCACATCTTCACTTTCAGAGTGATTTCACATTGGAACGCATTGCCAGAAGAAACGGTCACTTCAACAAGCAAAGCGTCATTCAAGTCTCGACTTGATAAGTATCTAGGTCTATTTCCCTCTTCTTAAGCCCTTCCTAAAAAAGCCCCTAAAACAGAATTAAAATGTTTTACAGTAGTCTTCTTTTATGTATTTAAGCCTTTGCCGATTTAGTATAGCATTTTGTTATGTTTATTAAAAATGTTGTCAGAATAACTAGCATTACTAGTCCCCGGGCAAGACGATATATTGTCCCTCCAGTTTTTTCTAATTTTCCAGTTGCATCTTCCAAGACCAGACAGCAAGAAACCATCAGGGATTTGAGAACATTGGGCGCCAGCCTCGAACCCGGGAGCCACCTCAAGACAAGACAACAGCTTGGGCATAGCCAAACTCACTTCCAACCTTTCGGAAGATTCAGAATATATCGTTTCTACGAAGCTAATCTTTGATTCTGTTTCCTTTTGGGACGGATATTCAAAACGAACGGGAGCAACATTTGTGACAGGTTATGACGAACATCAGCAACAATCGAGTCACTAAAGGACCACTTGACCACCTTTGCAATATCATCTTTTAAGTCTGATATCCCACTAGATCCAACCATCTTTACCTTATCAGTGAAGATGGAGCAAAGTGAGCTGGTAATTTTCTGCTAGATCATTTATGAACAACAGAAAAAGAAGCGGGACTAACACCGAACCTTGTTATACTCCATTATTAACCTGAAAGTTTGGTGTCGTCTGTTATCCTAACCTAACGCAGAATGTCCTATTAGTCAAGAATGCTGCCATCCGTTTGAATAGTGTTCCTGTGATTCCGAAAAAACACCTTATGTAGAAGCAATCTATGACTTATGGAATCGAACGCCTTACTGAAATCTAGGTGACATACTTCTACTGTTCTGCCTACGTCTACCCTGTCAGTGACTTCGGCGAGATAGCATAACAGGTAAGTCAGGCACAACCTGCTTTTCATAAAACCATGCTAGACCACGCTAAGTAATGCAAAGCCTAAAAGGTGGGCATAGATATGTGTCCTGATTAGCTTTTCCATGCACTTGCATAGGATGCTAGTTAAGCTAACCGGTCTCTAGTGCTGTGGGTTAGTTCTATTACCGCGTTTGTGTTACACCACCGCAATGGCATTTCTCCGGTCACCTGGAAGCACGCCCTCCTCCAGAGAGTTTTGAAACAGTACCCTTAAGAGGTATCCTCAGATTTGGGCAAGTGGTTTTACAATGAAAGTGTGTATACCATGGGGACCCAGGGCCATATCGATGTCCAACTCCCCTAAAACGTTTTGCATCTCCATTGCAGATATTTGCATCTTTCTAATGCTCTGTGAATGAGAGGTTGAAGATCCAGGTTGTAATATCCGGTTGCCTCTCCTGTGAATACTGGCAAAATAGTTGCCTAGTGTTACTGCCTTGCTGTGGTCGTCCGCTGCCACCGTATTGTTTTCAAGAACCAAGGCTCCTATGGAGTCCATCAAGTTGTGTTTCGATTAGACGTACCTATAAAAACCTTTTCGGTTTCAGCTTGACATTTTCCGCTAACTTTAGTTCATATTTTCTACTCTTATAAGACCGACTGTCCTATTCCTCTGGACAGTCGGTCAAGTCACTTCAGTTTAGGGATTCAGGACTTGGTGGCGAGATTCCAAATTGTTCAGTCTCTTCCCCTGGTGAGGATTCGAGATTCAATATCCTCTTGGCACCCAGTTTTCATTGGAGTCCCGTAATGTTCAGCTCCGGGCCCCGTACTGTTTCTGTTTTACATCAACGATCTCCCCAGCCGGCGACAGTCACCATGCCACGACTACACGGATGACCTGAAATTATGGAGACCAGTTCCGTCGTCACTAGACACGACAGTTTTACAAGCTGATTTGTTCAGGACAGTTTAGCTCAGCTTGCACAAGACGATGTGCGGCCCGGGCGAATCGTCAACAAGAATGTGTTATTAGCTGATCTTGTGGCTTCGAACACTGCGAGGCAATGGATTTTTGTCGGAAAGCCTGAATGTGAGGTGCAATATCACGTCATAGGCAGTGGCCCTCAGGACAAATACGTAGTCTATGCTTCCTGACTTTATATCCACGCCTAATATGACATGATTGTAGAGCATGTTCTACTACGTAAAGAAAGTAACAAAACAAAAATTTCTTTCCCACCTGCCCCAAGTACTCTGAGTGTTGTGGAAGCATCACGCGTAAATTATCAGTTATCATCAAGCAATCCGTTAACTGTCACAGTCATCCATTTAAGCAATACTGCACACTGTCAACCGGAGCCACATATCGGAAGAACAGGAACAATCAACCAGCCGGACAATCCTTCTGTGAGTCCGTTCCAAGTACCATTTATTTCATTATTATTCGAATATGTAGTATCTTTTCTACTGCATATTTTGTGAGCTTGTGTTCAATTTATCTCCACTTTCATATTTTTCTACGGTATCCAAAGTTCTTCAGGAATTTGACTTTATTTTTTATTTACCGTACATAGTAAATATGGAGCAACTAAAACCCGACATAGAAGACCTCCACATATCTTTTCCCATTAAATTACCCGCATCTGGTAATACCAACCCCCGGCTGTTTCGCCCAAGCCGAAGACCATTTCCTTGTCCACCGAATCCGCTCCCAAACGATTATGTATTCCCACATAATCACTTCCCCACCTACAGACATTGCGGAACAGGTGTTTGAGTTTACCATCATCATGCCCGAGAATGACCCGTACACTCAGTTGAAGGAAGCGTTGATCACCCGCACAGCTGTGTCGGATGCACGCCGATTGGATGAGTTCTTTGGGGAACTCGAAGTCGGCAACCGCACCCCATCCTAGTTGTTGCGACACATGCGGCAACTCCTTAGTACCCGAGTACTTGATGACGCCATCCTCCCCCAGCTGTGGTTCAAGCGTCTCCTTCCACGCATCCGAGAAGTTTTATCCGTCCTCTCCAACAGTTCGTTGGATGAAATGTCAATGACCGCGGATAAAATGTTCGAAGCAAATCCAGCTTTGCAACACATTACCGCTTGCTCCAACCCAACCCGATGCACTGGTATCCGATTTTTGATCGACACCGGTGCTGAACTGAGCGTGATTCCCCGTAGGATACACTACCGTCACCTTCAACCAACCGCTGTCACCCTACAAGCAGCCAACAGTAGTCGCATTCACACCTACGGCCGTCGCTCCATCGCCGTCGATCTTGGTTGAAAGACGAAAATTCAGGTGGATTTTCACTATTGCTTATGTTCACAATGCCATCATTGGTGTTGATCTTTTATCTGCCTTTGGTCTCGTTGTTGATGTCAAGCAGCAAAACCTACTCAATACCTCCACGTCAGTAACAGACAGTGCTCGTGCAACGTGCATGTTCCATAGGACTCAGTCTACCCGAACCCGAGTCATTTGTCTTCTCCAATATTCTTCGTGAATTTTCAAACTCAACACAACCTTCAAGGTCTCAAGGTCGTTTTGAATAACTTCCATACTCTTCGTAACATCGTTCAGTTCTCTGATTATGTTGTCATCCTTGTCACTGAAACGTCGTCAACTGACTCAGTCCCGCAAGACCACGTCATAATTACGGACTATCACGCCTGTAGAAAGAACCTTCTCCATTGTGGAGGAAGCCGTCTAATTCTTGTTAAAAACATCCTAGTGACTACTCCCCTATCCTACCTATTACTTGATGCAGTCCCTGACTCCCCCTGGTTAACAATTATGTTACTCAATCTTTTCCTTTACATTGGCTGTATATACCGGCCACCAGACTCAACCACAGCTAATCTTATACAGATAATCAAAGCCGTTGACTATTTATTTCTTTTCCTATCTTCTGCCAAACTTATTGCAGGCGACCTTAACGCCCGAGATATTTACTGGAAAACTTTATCTGCCCCTCCAAACTTACTAGACTTTATTTCTTTCATTATCGTTGGACGTTGGCTCCAAAATGTATCATCCCCAACGAGAGAATCAATATTCTCGATTTAATTTTTACCTTGAATCTATCGGTCTATTCTCCGGTAATGACCATCAAATGCTATCTCTTACATCCACAGCTCCCCTAGGTAATTCTGAAATAAGTTCCTCTGGAAAATCTCTTACGAAATGTCAATGGAAAGGCCTTGTACACATGCTTCGCTCCCACGCTTGGGACGAATACTTCAAGGAACATGATCCCCAACTATCTCCTGATCTGCTTTACTCTAATCTCTCAGCCTGTATCACGCCAATCACGATCACCCGGATCACATCCCGCTTGATTCGCATTTTTTCTCTCGAGAGACTGCAAAAGAAATACATAAAACTAAACAAGACCCATTCAAAAACTAGGGATTTCTCAGTTCTCTTACAACTGCACCGCACTTCTGCGAGCATCAGGCTGAAAATAGAGGAAACCCTGTTGAAACAAGAACTCTCTGCGTTGAATAGTTCAAATGAACCACTTTACATATCCCGTCTACTCAAAGGACGAACTCAGCATAAGACAGCCGGAATTCCATACCTCATTACTGACGACAAATCCCATAGCACTTCTCCTGACGCGATAGCTGCAGCAATTAACAGTTTTTTCGCCAGATCCTTGATTACGGAGACTGTCATAAGCACCCCCGATATTCCACCTTACACTGAACACATTCTCTCTCGTCTGGAATTTACCCTTAAAGAAGTGACCCAACTACTTGCGAAGGTGAAACCATCCTCACGTCCTGGGTATTTGGCATTCCACCATCACTGCTTCGTTACGGTGGAACTGATGTCGCAGCTTTATTGTTAAATTTATTCAGCCTGTCCTTGAATTTTGGCATCTTTTCATCTCAATGTAAGCTAGCCCTTATCATCTCCATACGTAAACAAGACCCATTTAGTGACCCCTCTAATTATCGCCCGAATAACCACATCCCTATTACCTCTAGAATACTGGAACGTCTGGTTAAACAGTGCATATCTGACTTCCCATTTTTCCATAATCTTACACATGCTGGTCAGCATGAGTTCTTAAAATCACGATCATGCACGACTTGCCAGTATGCCCTTTTTGACATGTTAACCATGGCAGCCGATAACCGAAAGTCTGTAATCGTCATAAATCTTGGCATGACCAAGGCCTTTTACCGTGTTTCCCGTCCTCGTTTACTTGCAAAACTCAAGACATACGGTTTCGATGGCACTCTTTTATCTTGGTTGACTTCCTAACTCTCGAAACGCACGAAAACAGTATCCGTCGACGGTCATCTATCACAACCCGTTCCTGTCACCAGTGGTGTGATACAGGGAAGTGTATTTGATCCCTTACTTTTTTTACTCTACATCAATGATGTATTTTCAGTCATTCGCCATGGTGTTCCGTTTCTCTTTGCGAATTATATTAAGATATTCTACGAATTCTAACTCCCAAATATTGCAACTACATTACACAAAATTAGCAATGATCTAAAACAACTTGAAGAATGGTACTTCTTGTGGATGATGGAATTCTCAGCATTAAAAAGCTGCTACACAACCTACAGATGTCTAGTCCCATTTGAATCCCTTATAATAAATCACGCACCTATTCAATCCAGCACATCTGTGCGTGATCCTGGGCTTCACTACTCAAACAATATTAAGTTTTCTGAACACGTTTCATTCCAAACAGCTAAAGCACGGCAGATAATTGGTATGATTACAAAATCCCTCAAACTAGGGAACAGCGTACTAAGTGCCTACGTATCCCACGTCAGACCGCATCTAGAATACTGCCCCATTTTTTTCTCTGGCCTATCCAAAGCAGATAGAATTAAAATTGAGGATGTCCAGCGTTCTTTCACGAAAAAACTGATCATTTACTCGTCGACTGCAAACTACATGGAACGTTACATTCTTCTACGATTGGACTCTTTATGGTTCAGGCACATTTGTCTTAGCTTATGCTTTTGTATAAGCTCCTTCATTGCCGAGTATCCCCTTCCGATAACACCCCTGCGTATTCCCTATCCTCACCTAACCCGCTACGTCATAGGAACGTTACACTTACGATCCTTCACATGAGAACATAAGTAAGGTCAAATTTCTTTATTCCAAATTGTGGAATAAACTCCCTTTTGAATTCCGAAAATGCCCCTCTATTGTACAATTTGCCAAAGCACTAAAGGCACACTTTACCGTTAGCTTCATGTTACAGTTGAACCAATGTGACACCCCTGTATACAGAGAATACGAAGAGGGCGTTGATCTCTGAACTGTGTTCACATTTATATCATCTCGTCAAATACACAATACACTTCGAGAATCCCAAAGCTCAAGTTGTGGAGCCGACCCCATTCAGCGAATTCATGTGATAAGTGTTGTCCCCTATTCAACACAAGAACTTCCTCTTCATCATTAAACTCCAATGTTCGTTTTTAAACCCAGTTCTATTCAGTACACTGGTCGCGCCTCAAAGCTTGATTATTGCAACGCAAACCCCAATGGATATATACTTGGTAAAAGTAATGTCACCTATCCACAACCAAACCTGTACCCTTATTCAGTTATATCCATTTGATGATTCTTCACAAGTGACATCCTGACTTAACCTCTTCGTATACATGGTACACTTGTTGAGTTTAAAAGCTCATGAAGTGAAATGGAAACCTCATGGTGATTGTCTTCTTAGACTACAGCACTCAAACGTTTTATCCGACTAAAATTCTCACCCTCAGGTCACCTCTAAGCCTCTCTCTATCTGATGCAACAGCTAAGCTTTAGTTGGTGCACTGGTCGATCTTCAAAACTGGATTAGTGCTAAATATTCCTTTTATTGGAATAATTGCACAACGTTTGTCCTCCCTAATTTCTCTAATTTTTTCCCCGTTCATCCATATCGTTCCCTCCGAGCTATCTCTTCCTCGTGGCACAGGCTGACCGGGCATTAGTGTTCACCTATCAACCCCTATCTAATCGCTTCATTTGTCGAGCGTCAAAGCTAGATCTGTGGTACCCGAACCTTTCAGGACAAAGCCTACAATAGATTTGTCAACCTTAGTTCTTGACATCATTGTTGCGTCCTGTTGTGTTGAACCCTCTGATTTGCTTCATCTCTTCATTTTTTGACCTGCGTTTTCTTCGTGCGCACTTCCCTTTTATATATATATATATACCTTCGGGCACTTACGCACTCCGCATATTCTTTCGCGACATGCTGTTCTCCTCTTCCCTTCTCAGCCGAGTATTACCCCAGATTGCCGAGTTTCGCCCTTGTTGTTTCAAATTCTGTTGGCTTGGGCCTGTCGAAGGCTTGGGGTCTACACCCACAATGGATAATTTGGCTCCGGCAATGGTAGTTAGGCGCGGTTGTATCCACCGTTTTTGAATACATGGGTCCACATTCCGGACCAGGCTGAGGATCACACCCCCTGCCTCACCTAAAAGGTATTTAAAGTTTGGGTGTCTAGCGTGTTGTCACTCCCACATCCCTCCTCATGCAGTCTCATTCGCTCGCACAATCGATCCAACACAAAACAAATAAT